AACAAAAACTGATTAAGATTTAAAAACAGAGCTAAGTAGGTTTGGTGGAACAATATTTATTTAGCATTCACTAGGCTCTAACAGTGATCCCTAGCAGAGGATTGGAGGAGGTAGAAAGGGGCACATAGAAATGTTTTTTTGTTTGTTTTGAGATAGATTTTCTCTGTGTAGACTAGCCTGGCTTTGACCTCACAGAGATCTGCATGCCTCTGCTGGGCTTAAAGGTGAACACCAACACTGCCTGGCTAGAAATGTTTTTGCACAAGGTTCTGTTACTTTTTTTTTTTTTTTTTTTAAACAGGAACTATGCTAGGTGCTTGAGGTTTTTATTTTGGTTGGTTTGTTTGTTTGTTTTAATACTGAGAAAACCAATTTATAAATGTAGTTTGGGACCTGCAGCCAAAAGTCCTGTTCACATGCCTTCAGCATGCCTTTCTGGACTCAGATGACTGACATATTTAGTCAGGCAACTGTAGATACCTTCACTCACATTCACTTACACACACCAGCAACTCCTTAAGCAACAAACCAGTTTAGTAAATGATGAGGAAAGCCAGAAGAGGCCAAGCACATATTCCCAGTGCTTTCCTTAAAATAATTTTGGGGTGGCATCTCAAAATTAGCCAAATAGCTGGGCATAGATTATGTGCACGTTTAATCCCAGCACTTGGGAAGGAGAGAGTGAAGGATGTCTTTGAGAGTTCTAGGCCAGTCTGGTGTAGGCAGTGAGTTCCAGGCCAGCCAGGGCTCCATAGGAAGATCCTGTCTCAAAAATGAAGGAACAGACACATAATTTTCTCCTCCAGAGAAGAATGATCAGAATTTCCTCTAAAATTTCTCATTGGAAGACTTACCACAGAAAGAAAAGAACCTGGCCTTGTACTATCCTTTTTTGTTTTGTTTTCAAGACAGGGCTTTTCTGTGTAGCCCTGGCTGGCCTGGAACTCACTCCATAGAACAGTTGGGCTTGAATTCAAGAGATTCCCCTGCCTTTGTCTCTCAGATGCCAGAATTAGAGGTGTCCATTCTCTGCTGTGCCTAGTTTCCTAATCCAGCTTTATTCCTGTGTAAACTTGGGACTCAGAATAAGCCATTTCCTAAAGTGTTTTACTTGATAAACACTGCCAGTATGACATGCTAACTCATACCTTGTAATCCTCAGTAGTAAGGGAGTTGAGACAGAGGGAGTGGTGTGGTGTGATTTGGAGGCCAGCCTGGGCTACAAAATGAGATTCTGTCTTTATTTTTATTTTTTGAGGCAAGGTTTTACTATGTAGCCATAGCTAATGTGGAACTTACTATTTAGACCAGGCTGGCCTCAAATAGCTCTTTGCCTCTACCTTCCAAGATCTAGGATTAAAGGCATACCTAACAATCCAGCCCAAGATTCTGTCTTCAAAAACCTAATTATTTAAAATAAATTAGAATTTGTTACCTTGTTTACTCATTTAATTTGTTTATTTTATGTATATATGTTTTTGCCTGGGTGTATGTATATGCACTGAAAGTGTGCAGGTGCCAACAAAGACCAGAAGAGGGCGGTGAATCCTCTGGAACTGGAGTTGATATGGGTATTGGGTCCCAAACACTGGTACTCTGTAACACCATCAAATTCTCCTAACCATTTCTCCAGCTCCCTTTTTTCCTCTTTTCTTTCCTTCCTTCCTTCCTTCCTTCCTTCCTTCCTTCCTTCCTTCCTTCCTTCCATCTTTCTTCTTTCTTTTCATTTTGAAGTAAAGTCTTACGCTGGCTGGCTGGTAACTTACTAGTATAGACGAGCATAGCAAGCTGGTCTATACTCACAGAGATCTGCGAACTTCTGCATCCTGAATTCTGGGACTAAAGCTGTGTGCCACCATGACCAGCTTTTTTGGTTTTCTACACTATATCTTTGTCTTGGAGGTACAACTTGGTGGCAGAGTGCTTGTTTAGCATGTGCAAGACCTTGGGTTCAATACCTAACACTAAAATAAATATGGGTTCAATCCCTAAGACTAAAATAATATGTGGCTAGTCATGATGACATACTTATAGTCTCAACACTCAAAATGAGTCCTGAAAATTGTTGACTTGGAGGCTAGCCTGGGCTACAGTGTGAGACTCTGATTCAAAAAACCAAAATACTAATAAAACTGTTACATTATTCATCTAATGAATTTTTTAATTATTATTTTGTTACTGGGGGTTGTTGAACTGCATACTGGTTAGGTAAGCATGTTACCATTGACCTACATTTCCAGCCCTTATTCATCTTACTTATTTATTTTGATTTTTTGAGATGTGGTTTATCTGTGTAGGCCACTGGCCCTTCTAGGACTCTGTAGACCAGGCTGGCCTCAAACTTCACAGAAATCTGTCTGTCTTTGTCTCCCAAATGCTAGGATTAAAGGCATTTGCTACCACCACTTGGCTGGAACAGGGTCTTTCTAATGTAGTGTCTTTGTTCTCCTGGAACTTGCTATGTAGACCAGGCTGGCCTCAAACTTCACAGAAATCTGTCTGTCTCTGTCTCCCAAATGCTAGGATTAAAGGCATGCAGCACTATTCCCATCTTTTTAATCCAGCTTTATTCCTGATTAAACTTGAGGCTCAGATTAAGCCATTTCCCAAAGTATTTCACTTGATATATTACAAAACTGAACATGCAGGGTGTGGTATTCTAGCACTGGGAGGCAGAGAGAAGAAGAGCAGGAATTCAAGACCATCCTCGCCAGCATATGGAGTTTGAGGCCAGCCTAGCTACATAAGACCCTGTGTCAAAAGCAGAACAAATTACAAAGTGATTCAAACCCAGCTCCATCTGATCCCAAGTCATGTGTCCAAGTGTCTTGCCCCAGCCTGAGTCCTAGGGGTGAAGTGATGACCATGGACTAGAAAGGTAGGGCGGGTGAATATGCATGAAATTCACCCGAGGAAGAGGAAGACAACTTGGCATCCCTTGATACTTGTTGGAGTACTTGAAGTCCTGGGTTCCATCTTTAAGTAACACACATACAGGGGGGTGGGATGAGAACAAACTCAGGCACTGGTAGGGAGAAAGCCAGAAAGATGCTAACAGTGGCCAGGACCAGCTCTCATCCTAAGTGGTAGTGGGCCAAGGTTGCCTGGCCCTTCCTTCCTGCATCTCTCCCCCCTGCAGGCTGGTACAGAAGGCAGAGCTGGTTCGGCTGTCCCAGACCCTGAGCTTGGTGCCCCGTCTACACTGGCTGCTGGTGGAGGATGCTGAGAGCCCTTCTCCGCTAGTCTCGAGGCTGCTGGCTGCCTCTGGTCTCCTCTTCACACACCTAGCTGTCCTCACCCCCAAGGCTCAGCGGCTTAGGGAAGGCGAGCCAGGCTGGGTTCGGCCCCGAGGAGTAGAGCAGCGCAACAAGGCCCTGGACTGGCTCCGAGGCAAAGGGGGTGCTGTTGGGGGCGAGAAGGACCCACCACCACCAGGGACCCAAGGAGTCGTGTATTTTGCTGACGATGACAACACATATAGCCGGGAGCTCTTTAAGGAGGTGAGCCCTGGGATAAAGATAAAGAGACCAGGTGGCACCGGGTTCCTTTATCTTGTTTACCAGTGTTGATGTGGGCTGCTGGGTAAAGATGGTGACCAGGAGGGGAGGGGTGTCAGTAAACAAAACTAGTTCTTTCTCCTGGCCCACCCTTCTCTGTTTCTTCTCCATTAGATGCGTTGGACTCGTGGTGTCTCAGTGTGGCCTGTGGGGCTGGTGGGCGGCCTGCGATTTGAGGGTCCTCAGGTACAGGATGGCCGGGTTGTGGGTTTCCACACAGCATGGGAACCCAATCGGCCCTTTCCCCTGGACATGGCGGGGTTTGCTGTTGCCCTGCCCTTGCTGTTGGCTAAGCCCAATGCTCAGTTTGATGCCACTGCACCCCGGGGCCACCTGGAGAGTAGTCTCCTGAGCCATCTTGTGGATCCCAAGGACCTGGAGCCAAGGGCTGCCAACTGTACTCAGGTAAGAGGATGGAGAAATTCTCTGGGCTGAGCAGCTAATGGGAGAAGTGGGAATGCATGTTTGAGCCAGGAGAAACCCTCGAGATCTCTGACCAGCTTTGTTTTTACTCTGTTGAAAAGGCTACTGAGAGTCAGGGTAGGGCTCCTGTCTCTTCATCTTACAGGCTTCTGTGAACTCATGTGTATATCAGAGGAACAGGGAACAAAGCCCCAATTTTGAGTCAGTAAAGTTCCCCCACCCCCACACTTTATACATTATATACCAGCTCTGAATGTAGAAGGGGTAGGGTGGGGGTTGGAATCCATCCTAGATCACATACCCCAGGACCCTGGTTATGGCTGGTTCTGATCCTAAACCTTCCTTCACAGGTACTGGTATGGCACACACGGACAGAGAAACCTAAGATGAAGCAGGAGGAGCAGCTACAGCGGCAGGGCCAGGGCTCAGACCCAGCCATTGAGGTGTGATGGCGGCCTCACCCTGACTTCTACATTATTTTAGGCACATACCTTGTGGGACTGGGCTCCAGGCCAGCCCAGGGTGTGTGTGGTGTTTTTTTTTTTTAAAGACCTGACCCCTCAGAACCAGAGGCAGCCCCTCCAACCACAGGGTGCGGCCCAGCTGCTTCCCTCCCTTCCCCCAGCCTGCCATGTGGCACTGCCCACAGACTGGGGACAAGCAGCTCTTGTATTGAGCCAGGTCAGCCCCAACTGGGGTGGAGCAGGATAGATGGACTCAGGAGGGAGGGTGGCCAAGGGAACTGGGTAACTTATTGGGGACAAGCATGCACTGGGGGGGCTAGAGGAACTGGGCTGGACCCTCACCACCTGAGCATGCAGAGCCCCTTCCTACCTCTAGAATAAAGAATCTCAACCCGGAGGGGCTTCGTGTTTCCCTTCACTTGGCAAACCTTTTTGCTGCTCTCTGATACCCAAAAGATGAAACACTTGTTCCTAGACAGGCTAGGTTCCTCCTCTACACAGATGTCAATCCTTCAGGCCCCATCCCCTTGACAAGAGAGAGAATAGTGGCTTCCGTCCAAAATACTTTATTGTAGAATCTGTATACTAGAAACAGTCTCCAGTCCTTTGGGTGTCACTTTCCTGCCACCCTCATTTACTCTTAACCTTGGTGGTTTTTACCGCAAAGGCTGGGCTCTGGGACACCTGGACTTCTCATGCAAGTCTAGCTCTTACTGCTCTAACTCCTGTAATCCCAGGGACCTCTCCTTCCCTGAGCCTGAGTAAAGAACTGGAAGTTTTCCATATCTGTCCATCTTTCCCCTTCCCACCCGCCCCCCTTCAGGTTACTAGGCCTCACTCAGGGAGAACCTCCTTGGGAGGTTCCTCTTCTTGTGGGGCCTCCTCGGGTGCTGGCTTGTGGGCAAGCCCTCCCTGTAGCCATGCAGTTTTCAGGATGCCTTTCAGTCCACCAGGAAAAAGATAGCCTTGGGTGTCTCCTTCCCCATCAATGACTCCTCCAAGCCCCTCCAGCGCTGTCTGCAAATACCGCAAACCAAGGAGCACTAAAGCCTGTGAAGGGAAGCAAGTGGAGAGAGTGACAGTCAGTGGATTTGAGGCCTCAGGGCTGAAGGTGGGAGGTAGGGTCCTTGGCTGACTGACCTGCAGCAGTAAGGTGACAGCCAGCATGCTTCCCAGTGTGCTGGACAAGCCCTGCAGGTGCCCCAGCAGCACCTCATGGCACCCTTGCGCCCAGAGGTTTAGGTTGGGCTGTCGAGGATCGAAGAGTGGATGGGCATAGGGGTCTGAGAGGCGGCTTTGCAGGCAAGGCCGGGGTGAGTGGGGGTTGCAACAGGAGAAGGGGACTCCATCAATCAGGTATAAACCTTCCACATTGCTCTGGATCCGGCTGCAATGGCATAGGCAAGATAGTTAGGTGGCCAGGGGCCTGGAGGAACATCTGAGGGCAGGGGCAGTTGAGGAAAATGATTGTAAAACGTTTACTGAGTGCTTTACTATCTAAGCATGCATAGTACACTTATCTCCACAACTCTGTAAGATAGCCTATCTGGAAGATAAAGACAGGTATATTTATCTCCATATTACAGAGGAGGAATGGGCCCAGAGTGGCTTGGCAACATGCCCTGGGCAGCACAGCTGATAAACAGAAGGGTTGTAATCCGTTCTCTCAGCCATTGTGCTCTATTGCATGTCTGGGTGAGAATTTCAAGGCAAAGGAGGGAGTCTAAGGAGGAGGAGCAGAGGGAGAAGGAAAAGAGAAGCAAATCAATCACTCACTCAACCACATCCTGGTCACTGGGGTCCAGGTAACGGTTGCTGACCCATTGAACACCAAACCAATCCTTGTACCCATGGCGCCCGCAGCAGTGGTACCTCAACTGCAACTCATCCATCAGTCGCTTGGCCTGACAGTGTCCAGGCACCTCTGTGTCCTTGTAGTGAGCCAAGGCATCCTTCAGGCCCTCCTCCAGTCCCTGGTGCAGATTTACAGGCAAAACTAGGGATAGCCCCAAGGCAAGGATCAGTAGGCCCCCGCCTGCAGCAGTGCCAGCTGCCAGCAGCGGACTCAGGACCCCTCGCCAGGGAGGGTATTGAGCTGCATCCAGACTGGCCCGGCTGGCTCCTGCACCTCCTAGCCCTGTGCCTAGAGCCACCGCTCCCGCTGCCAGCGCAGTCTGGGGCAGGGCAGGGAATGAACAGGAGGGAGCCAGGAAGGTGCCAAGGTGCCACAGCTGTACCAGGAGGTGCCCGCTACAGAGGAGGGTAAGGCCACCAGCCAGTGCCAGCAGCCAGGAGAGGAGCCAGATCCCCTGCGCCAAACGGATACGGGCTTGGAGGGGCAGCACCACGGGCAGCACCGGCGCCATCTCCCATCTCTGCCGGAGGGAGTGAGGAGCCGTCGGGGCTGGAGGTTGGCTGGGGCAGGCAGGATGCTGAGTCAGCCCAGCCTGGCTTCAGCAGGGCTAATGCCATCCTGACCCCAATACCCTGGACATCCTCCCACTCCAGCCTTAATAACCCTCTGCCAGCCCCAATTCAGGATGCTTAGCCTTGCCCTTTAGAAAAGGCCCCGCCCCCAGGCAGAAGGCCCATTTCATGACCCCGCCCTGCCCTTTCGCGGAAGTGAGAGTTTGGTACGCCCCGCTCCCGGCTTAGAGACCCAGACCTCAGGCCCTGTGTCCCCTCCCAGGTCCTCTGGGAGCCTGGGGCCCGGAAGCTCGGCTAGAGCCTGGCGGGGTGAGGGGTCAACCGTGTGTCTCCGCCCCCGATCAGAGCCTCGGGTCCCGGACAGGGAAGGGTTACCTGGCGTCCCGCCCCCCACCCCCGGCCCGCCCCACTCCCGCGCTTGCTGGCGACTCCGGTCCCGCGCCTGTTTGTGCTGCGGTGCTTGGGCTTGGGACTGCCCGTCAGCGCACCCCAGGGAGCCCACCCCCGGAGAGTAGCAGGCCCAGTTCCACAGCGCCCCCTCTAAGCCCAGTCCCCAACGCCCGACAGCGCCCCCAGGGGGTGGTCCGGCACCCCTTCGCGCAAGCCCGGGGTGCTTCCTTCCCTTCTCCCCAGCCATGGCCCCCGCGGCTTAGACGCCTCCGCCTCCACCACTCGGTGCAACGCGGGGGCCCAATGGACGGGGCTGCGGGGCCCGGTGAGTACGGGGCGGGGCGGGCGGCGTGGCCCGGATTCCCTGAGCGCCAGCCCGACAGGCACTGCCAGTGCTGGACGGCTCTCTAGTGGCATGCTCTCCTGTTCCTGCGCTCCAGGGGCTCTGAGCATCCTTCTCAGTTCTTCAGGTTGCCAGATTCTGGTTCCTAGGAACCCCCACTGTCACGTTGGACTTCCTTAATGCCATTCGACTCCTTGGTACTCTGTGTCCCTCTAAGTTTCCTTGAACTCTGTGTCACTCTGGGCCTCTTCCCCAGGAATTCCGGGTCTTTTTATTTCAGACTCTCACAATTACCTTGTGATGTACACTGTTACAGTTCTATGCTGATATTCTGTACACTCACCAGAACGTGTTCCTTACACTCTGGCCTCTCAGCCTGATTACTGTCCAGTCCGCTTTCCTGTGTCTCTAGCTTGTTGGCGGAGTTTGCATTTGGTAGAGACTTGGCTTGTTGGTGGGGTCAGAGCGCTGTGGCTCCTCACCAGTATTGCTCCTGCCTCTCTCTCTCTGGCTCCCACATACCTCTGCAGTATTCCATATTCCCCCCTGGTGCTCCGCGGTACTCTGCCTTTGCGGAGGCTGAGACGGCAGCAGGAAAGGAGTTTTGCCAGGCTCACTGCCTGCCCTGCTGACGAGGAGGCCCTTTATCCTGTACCATCCCCCGTCCATCCCCTCCCCTCTGGATGAGAAGCCAAGCTTTGGACTACTTGAAAGGGTTAGCCCTAGATGGTTGGGTTGTAAAGTTGTGTAGGAGGACAGAATCACCTCCATCCTCCAGGTAGCAGCACTTTTCTGAGTGTGCTTCTTGCCCCTTCCCCAGGTGAGGGCCCTGCTCATGAGACCCTGCAGACCCTAAGCCAGCGGCTTCGGGTGCAGGAAGAAGAAATGGAACTGGTTAAGGCAGCCCTGGCAGAAGCCCTTCGCCTGCTGAGGCTGCATGGCCCCAGCACAGCCCTGCAGGGTTCTGGTACACCGACCCCAACAAGGGACAGGTATACATGTCAGAGCACTCCTTCTTCCTTCCTGGGAACTTTGGGGCATCCGGTTAATTTGCTGTCTCCCCAGCAGCATTACAGCCCCCCCAGGACTGCCACCTACATGCAGCCCTTCCTTGGTGAGCCGAGGCACCCAGACAGAGAGAGAACCAGAGATGGGGCCATCCTCTGGATCCCCTGGCCTGAGCAATGGGCCTCCAGCTCTTCAGGGAGGCAATGAAGAGCCTAGTGGGACCCAGTCTGAAGGAGGGTGCAGCAGCAGCAGTGGGGCAGGCTCCCCTGGGCCCCCAGGGATCCTCAGGCCTGTGCAGCCTCTCCAGCGTTCTGACACGTAGGTGTCCTGTGGTGGTAGCTGGGATGGGTGGGAAGTCTGGGAAGCAGGGCTACTGGGCTTGATTTTTCACTTTCTAATTCTGTCACACCAGGCCTCGAAGAAATTCCTCCTCCTCCTCCTCCCCCTCAGAGCGGCCCAGGCAAAAACTCTCCAGGAAGGCAGCCTCCTCAGCCAACCTGCTATTGCGGTCAGGGAGCACAGAGAGGTGGGTAACCCTTCCCTTCCTCCCTCAACTTGCTGTACCCCAGGCTCAGCTTCTTGACTTTCTCCATTCCTGGGTGGGGTGGGTGACCTCATTACCCAACAGGAAGAAAGAAACAAAGCATTCCTTGGGACTCCTGCGGTGTTCTGGGCCCTGTGCTAAAACTCTCCTCCATGTCATTCAGGCCCTGTAACATCATTGGTGAATAGGTGGTCTCTCAGGCTCCACATTGCACAGGTGAAGCAGGCCCAGAGAGGGCAATCGTTTGCCTGATCACAGAGTCAAGCTCTGAACCCAATTTTTCCTGATTATAGTATCACTGACCTTTTCATATCACAACATACCTTTCAAAATTCTAGGAGCCAAAAGCTCCCATGGTATTTTTATTTCTTTAGTTGAGACAGGAGCTTACACTGTAGTCTGGGCTTGTCTACAATTCACTTTGTAGCCCAGGCTGGCCTAAAAGGCCTGGTAGCCCTCCTTTCTTGGTCTCCAGAGTGCTGGGGAGACAACTTGTGGCTCTGGTGATCTTTTGCAGATGGCTGTCCTCAGAGCCTCAGCTGATTTCCACTTCCTACAAAGTCCTATTCTCTCTACTCCACTAACATAAGGGACATCTTAGCTCCAGGAAGTGTTGTCTTAGTGGACCTGAAGGTCCACTCTAGCCTTGACCTTTCTCAGCTTCTACTCTTGTTCTCTGAAGATCTATTGTCAGCTTCTCATCCAGTGGCAGTGACCTCTGGAATTCACCTGTCATTTTCCTTTTGGGAGATTTTGTCTACCGCCAGATCCCTGGAAGGTAGGGCTGCTCTGCCTTCTGTTTTTACTTTGGCTGCATTTTACAAATGTGGAAATAAAAAGGTCAGCAGAGGCCTAGGAGAAAGGGCACAGGCTATGTGTCTTCATGGCCCTGTTCTCTGATCTTTACATTGTCTTCTCGCTCTTCTCCTTTTACTCCTCCATCTCTTTCCTTCTTTCTCTCTCTCGCTCTCATTTCTTCCCTTCCTTTCTTTCCTTCTTTGGAACTAAGAGTCCCTATCTCTCTGGAGCCCTGATACTCTGACAGTGACCCCATACCCACAGGCTGACTGGGAGGAGCCTTCTGTTAGTATCTTGTTCCACCCCTCTAAGAGACTGTATCCTAGACTTTGTGCTTTTTCCTCTTCCCAACAGCCGTGGGAGCAAAGATCCCCTGTCTAGCCCTGGGGGTCCTGGATCTCGGAGGAGCAATTATAACTTAGGTATGTACAGAGTCAGAGGGAAGAACTTGAGTGATGGAATTAGAGCTGGGCTATCGTCCTAGGAGCTACTTTGGGGAACCTGTCCAGTATGGTGGGTATGCTGTTCTGGCCTCCTGGAAGGGAGGCTTACTCCTCTGCTTTTCTCTGTAGAAGGTATTTCAGTGAAGATGTTCCTTCGTGGCCGCCCCATCACTATGTACCTTCCATCTGGCATCCGAAGTCTTGAGGAACTTCCCAGCGGCCCACCCCTAGAGACCCTCAGCCTTGATTGGGTGTATCCTATCCCCTCCAGTTCCAAGGGAACCATCCCTTCCACTATGGTTCCTTCTTTACAGTTTTTTTTTTTTTTTTTCTGTATCTGTGGGGACAAGGAATCCTCTAACTCATCCCAGACCACCCCACTGTGGATGGCAATGCCAAGGGGAAGCTTTGCCATTTTCATGCCCAACTCTTCCTCTTCCTGTCCTTGGTTTGACTCTTTCCTTGACCATGGTCCCCAACACAGTTATGGGTACAGAGGCCGTGACTCTCGCTCTAATCTATTTGTGCTGCGTTCTGGGGAGGTGGTCTACTTTATTGCCTGCGTAGTGGTGTTGTACCGGCCTGGGGGAGGCCCAGGGGGTCCTGGAGGTGGCGGCCAGAGACATTACCGGGGTCACACAGACTGTGTTCGATGGTGAGGGTCTTGGGGTCTGGGGCTGATGGGCTTGACTGGAAGAGGGTCTGGCTGGGGAAGGAAGGGCAAGAAAGACAGTTGCCTTGCTACTTTTTAAGCAAGGATAAGTGTCTTGGGTGGTCTTGAGAGAGACCCCTTTCCTAGAGTTCTTGCCCCCCTACTTAGCCTGGCTGTTCACCCTGACGGTATTCGTGTAGCCTCAGGACAGACAGCTGGAGTGGACAAGGATGGAAAGGTAAGGTCAAGGCAGAATATCAAACAGATGGGATGAGAGGACAGACCAGTTTTTCTTCACAGTTCTGACCCCTTCTCTTCCACTAGCCCCTGCAGCCCGTGGTTCACATCTGGGACTCAGAGACACTCCTAAAACTACAAGAGATTGGACTGGGTGCCTTTGAGCGTGGTGTGGGGGCCTTGGCCTTTTCAACTGTGGTGAGCTGGGCACAAAGCTTCTAGACCTCTGTTTGTTGAGGCAGGGTTTCATGTACCTTAGGCTGGCCTCTAACTCAGAATGTAGGTGAGGATGTCTTTGAACTCTGGATCCTTCTGCTTCTATCCACCAAGTTATAGGCGTGTGCCACCACGTGTCTAGGCATGTCTGGCTAGACAGCTAGACCCTTATTCTGGTTCAGCACACCAGTCTTTCATTTTACTAGGAAATCTGGGGAAGGTCTGGTGTTCTGGGCTCATAGAGCCAGTTCTCCTGAGAAAGAGACATCTGTCAACTTCTTTGGCCATCCTAACTGTGATAGAACCTCTGTCTAATGACAGGAAATGTCCAGACCTCCAGAACTCACAGTGCTGTGTCCCCATTCTCAGGATCAGGGCGCTTTTCTTTGTGTGGTGGATGATTCCAATGAGCACATGCTGTCAGTGTGGGATTGCAGCCGGGGAGTGAAGCTGGCTGAGATCAAGGTGAGGAGCCTAGGTGGCTTGATGGTTTCCAGATGTGGGGTAGGGTGGGAGTGGTGGAATCAGACAGTTCCAGACTTACTTATACATATACTTTCTTTCTGACTATGACAACACTCAGTTCTCTCTGCTTTTGTTTCTTCACCAGAAGTTCTAATGGGGAATGTGGTTTTTAGGGGATCAGTTTTTTTTTTTTCCCACCTAGTGGTGT